ACAAAGGCCAAATTTGTTATCCTACCAAAGATAATGCATTGGTAAAAGTACGCAGTGCTCTGCAGAGACCAGTGGCATTTTTACTGCTCTTTGTTATCAGTGGTATTTAAAGTGGGCTTTATTTTGGGCCTGAGTGTGCTTGTGTGAGGTTTGCAGCCTCATGGAAAAACAAAGCAACAGCCTCTGGGTGGATGGTAATCTTGAACCAGTAGGACTAGGAAAGAGGACAGACCCAATCCTTGATTCCTCCCAAAGCTCCTTGAAAGAAAATTCTCTGGTTCTAAGACTTAAAGGGCAGCAGAGGTCAGGAAAGCCGACTTCGAAGCACCACCCACCCTCACTGCTCAGGGGCCCAGCTGGACCCCGTTAGTCTTAGTCAGGAGTGTCGGGGAGGCTCTGCCTTGATTCCTGTGCTTCATGTGACCGTCTCTGTCCGGGTAATAACCGGAGACTCGGGCTCTCTTCTTTCTTTGCCCCTCGCTCCCCTCGCCCCACCTTGGAAACGACCATTTCTGTCTTTAGAGTCAAAAACATCAACACTGCCCAAGCAGCCCCTTCTTCATTAAGGGAGAGGAAGGACAATTTAAACTTCTTTTCTCTATTACCTAGGATAATAGGACAGGTAGAAAATGCTCATTTTTTGAACCGAGATGCTCTTTGGAATACTCTGTGTCGATTGTGTGGATTCTGCTTCCTAAGCCGGTTTTGAAGCACGTGCGACCATCGCCGACACGGATAACGTGCGTTTTTCTTTTCAGAAGCCGCCTGGAACCTTGCCTACATCCTGGCCCCCAGCATCCCCCTTGCCCTCCTCCTGCTGGTCACCACAGTTCTGTGTTGGATTTGGATCTGGAGGATGAGGCAAGTAAAACCTTTGCTGTGCAAACCTTTGTCTTCTGAGCTCCGAGATTTGGACTCTGCCCTGTTTACTTAACTAAAAGCCACCGCTGCAGATCCGAGAGTAAATTCCCTGCTGTGCTGCAGACATTCATTTGTGCTTAGCTGTGATTCAGTGATCTTGCAACCTTTCATTTTTTAAAATGACTTAGAGGGGGAAACTGTTTTACTCTGGATCCACTCATCACGCAGCCAAGTGCTCTCAGAAACGCACCCTCTCACTCCAAAATTTTTGTTGGACGAGTGAAGGAGTGACTAGTGAGCCACATGAAAAACATCTCTTCCAGAGCATCCTGGCAAACATCTGAAACTCAGTCGCTTTATTCAAAATGAAATAGCCAGATATTTTAATTGGCTTTTCTTTCTCCTGAATACGCAGTTGTAGATTGCTACAAAACAGCTACACAAACAGCTTAGGGCAACTCCGTCGTAGGTGGATCATGTGCCATCGCTTTTGAGATGCCCAGAGCTTTCCACCTAGCTACCTTTTTTTTCCCCGTGGTCACGTTCACATAGGAGAAGGCTGGCATGCCCACTTTACAACAGAAAAACTAAGGTCTAGTTCCAGATTTGATGCCCTTTGATGATCTCTGTAAGATGAATTAGTAAGATTCCAGTGTAGAACCTACTGCATTTAATAACGACCTCCTTAGAGAATTATTAGAATTAAAGCAGTTAATACATGCAGAATGGGCATATAGTAAGCCCTCAAAAACGTTAGCTCTTAATGTGATCATTTTTATTAGTTAATTCCTTTTAACCTAAAAATTGAATTCAGTTCAAAAAAATTCCAAATATATTTTACAACTGCTCACTCTGCGGTTGGTTCTTGATTTCCCTTCCCTACTTCCTCTAGTCAGCATCTCACCAGGATGTTGGAATTGTGACTGAAGCTGGGGTCTATTTCAGAGGTTTGTTGTTGTTGTTGCTGTTCCCAAATATGTTTTTGTGTTTTTATTGATTTTTAGAGAAAGAGGAAGGGAGAGGGATAGAGAGATAGAAATATTGATGAGAGAGAAACATGGATCGGCTGCCTCCAGCACGCCCCCTACTGGGGGTCGAGCCTGCAACCCAGGCTTGTGCCCTGACCAGGAATCGAACTGTGACATCTTGGTTCCTGGGTCGACGCTGAGCCATGCCAGCCAGGCTATTTCAGAGGTTTTTAACTGTTTTTGTGTCACAGGCCCCTGTAGCAGTCTGGTGAAGCCTATCAACTTCTTCCCAGAACAGTACTTCTAAATGCATAAAATAAAATGCACTGGATTGCAAGGAAAGCAATTATACCAATATATAATTTAGCAAAGTATTTCCTTGAATGTGACAAATGTGTTTATTTATTCATGGGTATCATTATAATTTTGAAGTAATTTAAAGCATGTGTTATAATTGTGATGTGATGTGAAAATATCTATGGTTTCTGTTGTTGATCGAGTCAGAGATGTTACTAATTCCATTCCGGTTTATTGCCTACATTTAGAATTTCGGGACATTTTATTTTCCCGTAGAGAAGAGGGTTCTTTTACTGTGATGCGTTTCCCCACCCAGTTGTATCCAGGGCCCTCTGCGGGCTCTGAGGGCCCCGGGGTAAGCCCCTCTGTTCTGTGCTCCAGCAGCAGTGAGGGCTGGATACACAGTCGCTCTGAGCTTAACCCCCCTTTCCTGTTGTGTTCCCGCAGCCCCTCGGGGGGCCTGTGTGACTGCTCAGGAGCCCCCTCCCGCCAGGCCAGCAGCCCCGGCCCCCTTCTCTGAAACACTCAGCCCTCGGGTTCTCTCCTAGGAAACGGGAGCAGCTGGGCCCCGGCACGAAGGAGCAGTACCGCGTCTGGCCCCCTCCTCACCCAGGGGACAGCCCTGACCTCGAGGTTTACAGTGTCATCCGAAAACAAAGCCAGGCCGACTTAGCCGAGCCCCGGCCAGACCTGAAGAACATCTCGTTCCGAGGGTGTTCGGGGGATGCCACTCCCGACGACGTGTCTCGTGCCTGTGATGACATGGCTGTGAACCCATCTGAGAGCCGGTTTGTCACTCTGGCGAGCATGGAGAGTGGCTTTGTGACCAATGACATTTACGAGCTGTCTCCGGACCGAGTGGTGAGAAGCAAAGAGTGCGGATGGGTGGAAAACGAAATATATGGTTATTAGGGCGCAGGAGAAACACTTAGACCGACAAGGACCGGAAAGGACAGAGGCTTGGGGCCGCCCCATTCACTCCAAGGAAGCCACGCAGAAGGCCTGTGAAAGCGCCCAGACCAGGCCTGGGGGTGAGCACGTGTCCCCGCCACCCCCACTGAGCCCCCAAGGTGTGGCTCTGTCCCTCCTCCAGCCTCCCACCCAGCTCTGTCCTGTGAGGAAGCCGCTTGCCTGGCAGGGTCTGGCCCAGAGTAGAAAGGAAATGGCAGCTGACCCACAAGGGACAGCTCTTTCGGTGGCAGGGATAAGGTGTGGCCATGGGACTGGGGACACCCATCTCTGGATTGCTTTTCTTCCTCTCGACAGCAGCTCATGTAATCACAACGAGACAGAAATGACGGAAGATTTCAGAGCCTCCCTGCACTGGCGTTGGGCTGGCCCGAGCGTCCTCAGCTTTCGTAGCTGGTTTCTCAGAGGCACAAATCCATTAAAAGTCAGCCTGTGTCGCAGCCCTTCCTCTGCATGTGGCCTCGCAGGACTATTTTTTTCTTTCTCCTGACACCCAAACTTGGGAATATTTTGGAAACTAAAAATGAAATTCGAGCCTTGGCTCTAGGCTCCTTGGTGTCCCAGCCCCGACACTGCACGTTGTCCTGCGTGTGTGTTTGTCGCGATAGTGGTGCTTCCCTTTTGTTTTAGGACCCTGATAATGTTATTTTTGGACTCAAATCTAGAGAAAGGTTTCATGGCCAAACACCAGTCATTTACCATTTGATGATCTGAAGGCCATTATTTAAATCACCAGCAACCTCCCTCTGTCTGCTTACTGATGGCATTATTTGAGCCATTTCTCATATAGATTATTCCTGAAGAGCTTGCCCTTCGTCCCGCATGTGGAGCCCACACTAGAGAAAGTTAACTAGTCTGCTCAGAGCCCCCCCCGAGTGCAGGGGGTCATAAGGCAGCACGGGGGCCTGTCCAACAGCACTGGGGGGCAGGGTGGGCACAGAACCCGCCATTTACGCCTGCTGCGTGGAAGCGTATTCTGCGCAGTCACAACATTTCAAGCTAAAAGAGCGGCCATGTGGCCTGAAGGACTAATTCGTTGCTCTAAAATACCCAAGTCCCCATTTTCCTTCTCACATCTTGGCTCTGAGATCTGCCCCTTTAATCCCCCTCTGTGCCCCTTAACTCTGGCCACTCTTAGTCTGCAAAGTCCACCAGACTAGGGTGGGGGCCTATCTGCCCTGTCAGCACTGTACCGCCTACACCCAGGACCAACCCCTGCTCGGGGCAGACAGTCAATACTTGTTGAATGGATGAACAATTCATCCTTCAGGCTGATCTAAAATAGCCTGCATATTTCAGGAGTTTGTAGGGCCTGTTTTTCACACTCCACCTGGGTGGCGGAGGTAACTGAGTTGCTATTTGAGTTTGAAAAGCACTGCCTAGGAAGAAGGAACAGTATAACAAGCAGAGGAAGCTGGTGAGCTGTGTTAAGGACTTGCTTTAATTATGTCACTAAAACTTGAGTTGAGGACCCATTCTCAAGGTCATAATCTGAGCGACCCCTTCAGCACCTTCCCTGTGCCATCCGTGTGTTATCTGCCCTGGGACCCACAGATTTCTTCCTTCTGGGTTTTCATGCAGCCAGTCTTACCCTGCATTTAAATTATTCCAGTTCTTTTCCTCCTCAGGTTTATTAGCCTCAATTTACCCAACTCCATTTCTATCTCTGACAATTGCGCTTCACTGATTTAACAAACTTTTATTAAGTGTTTATGTTCAAGTTGAACATTGAGTTTATTTATCTAGGTATTGTTTTAAAATGTAGTAAACCTGTTTCATCATTTAAGACCACAGTTCCCAGGATTTGTTTTTCCACGCTGAAACATACCACAGGTGAAATGCATATATCAAACAACTCCTCGGGTCTATCCACTTAAAAAGAATGTATTAAATGCCTACTGTGTGCCATACACTGTGCTGGATGTGACATGCAGGCCCAGGCTTGGGTAAGTTGGGTTGGAGGTTACTACGTTTCCCAACATGCTAGCTCTAAAGCTCTTTTTCTCATGTTGTTCACTCATTCATATATTCAAGAAGTTTAGTCATACCTACTTTGTGTCAGGAAACATGCTAAGTGTTGGGCGTGTGATGGTAAATCAGACACAGGCTCATCTCATGGAGCTTACAGTCTAGTAAGGAAAGAAAACAAGAACATGAGTGAAAGAGAATTTGCTACAATTTGTTTTTAATTGTCTGCAATTCTTTCTAATCTCCTTCCCCTTCCCCTTCCTTTCTGTTTCTGGACACTTCAGTCCCAAAGCCATTAGGTAGGTCAGAGAGACATAGGCATCCATGGCCAGGGAAGTGGGGGACTTGGTAGCTCATGATGGGGTGTCAGGCCCGAGCAGGGTGAGAAAAGTGTCCATGCAGAGGGCAGAGGGCGGACCTGGCTCAGGTGTGGCCTGAGCGGGTGGAGGCCGTCCACACAGAGCGTGGGCCAGCAGCCACAGCTGGAGGTTGGTTGCATACGGGGGGATTAACGAAATAAGTAAGCTTCCTCTGTCAGAGACGAGAGTCACAGATACCAAAAGGGAGAAAACTGGAGTGAAATCCATAGTATTAGATTAAAGTTAGAATTAAAATTAGAAATATTGGTGTGACCTCATGGTTTTCAATATAGAATACATAAATATATACATATATCTAAATCTAGCACTCAGGTCTTGGCTTCTGAGTAACATTCCCCATGAAAATAAACCAGAACTCCTTGAAAACAATGGCTGATTCCCTGGCTGGGACAGGAAAAATACTAGATTAGCTCAGGAAAATTTTTTAAGCAAGAAAGTTTTCAAGAATGATGGGAACATGTCAATATATCAGAGGCCAGCTTACAGTGACCCACATTGGCCAAATATGGGACAATTTGAGCATCAAAATAATTATAGTGATGGATTATAACCTGCCAGACAAACAGGACACCATAAGTCCACGCTAATACAAAAGAATAAATTGGTATTTTGATGAGGTATGGAATATTTACAGAGTTTCAAGCTACTTTCCCACAAAAGGCTCATTCATTACCAAGGCAACACTGCATGCAGACACGACCTTAAATCGAATGACCAGTGTGAACATCTTCAATAATAGGGCAAATTGAAATTCCATGCAACCTCATCAGGTACAATGACATGAACACAGCATTGTCACATTTGTAATATTTCTGCCAATGATGCATAATATGAATCTAATTATGAGAAGGCATCATACAAAAACATTCCATCAAATAACAGCAAACTTTAAGTGTCAAGGTAATAAAAGTAAAAAAAGACTGAGGAACTGCTCTACACTGAAAGACACTAAAGAAAGTTGACAACTAAAGTCACTGTTTCATTCTGAATGGATTCCTTTTGCTATTAAAGAAATTATTGGAGCATCTGGCAAAACTTGGGTGGGGTCTGAGGACTGGATAGCAGTAATGTATTGGTGTTAGTTCCCTGATCTTGATGACTGTGTTGAGCTCATCTAAGAAAACATCCTTGCTTGTGGGAAATACACATTAGAGTATTAATGGGTGATGGGACATCAGGTTGGCAACTTAACTCTTAGATGGTTCTATGGGGGCAAAGTTCTTTGTACTGTACTTGCAACTTTTCTCTTAGTTTGAAATTGTTTGAGGAAAAGCCTTCGCAAACGGTGGTACTACACTTATCAGTAACATATCACTGGCAGTACTCTGATGTTGTGGTTGAAAGCATTTGATCCAAGACAAAAATGCAACGTTGTTAAAGCTCTCAATCAGTATTCCCTCCCCAGGCCCAGGCTCAGTACCCACACCCCACGTTGGTCATGTCCTTGCGGGTTACAGGAAGTCATGATGAGCACTTTCTGATTACGACCATCACCTCCCAAAAGTCAATTCGGCCATCCCTTTCTTGCAAGATTTCCTACCAGTCCCCTGTGAAAACCCAAACAAATGGTGCGATCCACACTAGATAAGCTCTAAGGTGTCGTCCAGCTCTGAAAACAGGTGATTTCAATATGATTTTTTTCTAGCTTATTCTTCAGCATGGTATGTCACATTCCTTCTGAACTTGTGGTAGGATATACTGAATGGTGGATGCAAACTGTAGAGAGAGATGCCAAATGAAGACCTAGGAAACTGCACATCCAGGGACGGAAAAGCAACAAAGCCAATTCTTCTGTACGGCCTCTCCTTTTCTTTCAAAAAGAGCAGTTAACGGTTAGTGATTGCTAATTAATCTTGAGTTAATATTGAATCCTGAGTTTGAACAGCAGAAACAAATGGTGTCTGGAGTGAGTCATCAGAACTAGGGCATCGGCAGAAACCAGTTTTTCAAAACAGAATAAGGCTGGGTTAAGTTTCAAAAACATGTAGGTTTTGGAAATATAAAGCTGTTCAATGTATTATCACGAAATAGGTACTTGTGCTTTCTATGGTGAGTTACATATTTCAATCAGCAAAATTTAGGTCCCTTCAGAACAGCTGAAACTCTGTGCTGTACTGTTCTTATGCTTTGTCATATGACTTGTGTTTGGTTCCAAGCAGGATCAAGCAGAATTCGTAATTGCTTGATTGTATTGGCGTAATTAGGGGAAAGCCCAGGGAACATTTCATGCAGGGCAATTTTTGCCAGAAACTGCTGTAATTGTCTTCACCACCAGGTGGCAGTGTTAGGGGACCATAGAAATAATTCCTAATGGTCATTAGTTTCTGGCAAGTAACTTGCTGCAGTTACAAGAGAAGGGAAAGAAAACTGATATAAGGAGAAATACGACAGTATAAATAAGTCATTAAAATCCTGAGTTCTGGAATCAGAGTAGTAGGTCCCAAGTCCTCTTTCTGCCACTTACTGGTTGTGTAATCATGAACAAATTATTGAATTATTTAAGCCTGTTTCCTCAACTTCAAAATGAGGGTAGCATTCCCTACCTAAAGGTGTTGTTGTGGGAATAAATCTCAGAATACATGCAAAGCACTGGCACATGTTATGGGTTGAAGTCCATGTCAGATGTTGACGTCCTACCCAAGCACCTCAAAGTGCAATCTTCTTTGGAAACAGGGACATGGCAGGTGTGATTAGTTAACAGGAATGAAGTCGTTCTGGTGGGCCCTAGTCTAATATGGCTGGTGTCCTTATGAAAAGAGGTTAGGACACAGAGACACGCACGCGAGGAGAACACCTTGTGAA